CTGACAATATGCGATATTAATTGTATGAAAGGATGGACATTCTGCAGCCAGTGGTGAGACATGCGTGAAAACACGTTAAATGTCTATCATGACATCATAACATTTCATCTATCATGCTTAATTTACCTGATGTCCTTTCATATGGAGGTTATGGTTTATGCATTTAAAATAAAGATTTTCAAACTTAAAATAAATGAAATACTTAATCCTGTGAATAGCACTGTATTTTTTTTACTTATTAACATATATGAGTCAAATGACCGTATTTATAGTGAAACCATGAAAACAATTTGTTATCCTTGTTCTTTTAATATGTTTTTATTCTTATTTCAGAAAATCTAAGCAATCTATTGCATCATGAACTAAACTGAACATGAACTAAAATGAACTTCCATCCTAAATATATATGTCCCATAAGGCCTTTTTGGTATTTTTGCTATATGTTTGTTTGAAGATAATTTAAAGAGTTACTCCAACTAAAAACAGTGTTTTAATAAAATGTTGTTTTTGGATTGAGTAAACGTTGTTGGAATGGTGCACCCCCATAAAAAACAAAAACAGGTCCTTCCTGCAGTGCACTCTTCTCTGGGGACATTACTTCCCCTAATCACCCTCACCCGGGCTGGTTCATGATGCTACTGTAGGTGGAGTTAAATTTTGCAGCAATGTGCTTTAATGTAGGACTGTCATTGTTTGGGGACTTTGTTGAATTTGCAAAGTCCCCCAACAGTGGCATCGCAGCTGGGTGTCTGGTAGCCAGGGTGCAGGATCTGCTTATCTGAACCTGTTCCTCACAGGCGCAGCCAACTTGATCTGAGCAAACTGTGTGAGAGTACAGCATTAAGGTCTATGGAGGATCCTTACATGACCGTGGAATCCTCCACAGACACAGACAATTCCCTGTAGCCTTAAAAAACAGGAAAAAATGTAGCGCTTGTAAAGTTAAATTTTCACTTCTATAATAGTCTCTGAGGAATATATTCGGCATCGGTAACCAAGTGCCTAAAACGAAAAATAATCGCATATAGTGTAGATGGTATGTTATAAAAAAATCTCTGATGTAGAAATATAAGGATAAACTCACAAACAAGGAGCTGCAAACTCAGCTCTAGTTGGTATCACTTTTGGATCCGTTTAGGCGATCCTCCCCTTATCAAAGTTTTTCTCTGCTGGGTCCGTATGGGTGGTTTTTCCTCTTCTTTGGTTAATTTCCAATATTATGGTTTTTATCCTAAGAAGAGGGCAAAAACACGGACGATTGCGCAGTACAATTAGGATTCCTTAATAAGATAATATAAATTCCCAAGTGGGTACTTACAAGCCTGGAGTCAAATGTTTTGACTCAATTTTCACGTGTTGTGCAGTGTGGGACTGCACTCCCATCAAACAAAGGCAGGTAGGTGGGTGACTTCAGGAATCCAAATAGTATTAAAATTAGCTTTATTGTAAAATAAAAAGGCATAAATATGCCTAAAATCTATTTATAAAACGTAAAACATCAATGTGCTAGAATACAAGAAACCAGAACGCGTTTCGCCACTACACTGTGGCTTTTTCAACTGGACAAATTAATACAATGTTGCTGTTCATTAGATACTCTTTAAATACCTGTTGTTTGGCGGTGAAAGGTCCGTGTTGGCGCCGTAACACGCTGTTGCCACCCACAGGCAAGGCGTGTGCGGGTCAAGCCTCGGTCCCATTTACATACACAGTCGGCAAGTGAAATTTTCATGCTGCGATACAATATAACAAGCACCTCGTATTTTCGAACGGCAAACTTAGTCTCTTTGTGATCTTGCCGTCAAACACTTATCGAAAAACATTACAAATACATCATTTCAATTCCTCACTTATCCAGAATATTTTAAGATACTATCTATACACGTATTTGTTTATTTCTTTATCCTATATCTTTTCTAAATACCGATATCGTTTCTCACTTATCAAAAAATCATTTCTGTTGTAGCATTATAGCTTTTCAATTGCATCAAATAATTAATAAAGTATCCCATATAATAATTATTGTTTTTCGGCTTATTCCTCAACAAAACTGTTCTTTCACTTATCTCTCATATTTTCATATCCCCCTTCTTCTTTTCTTATTTCTTCCTGTGTCCGGTGTAATAAAGTCCATACCAACAGTTTCCCTTGCATAATCAGGGAATGTGTAATACACATAATTACAGTAGTCCACCCAGCTCCATAAATCAAAGAAGACATAGATACATTAAGAGACATAAAACTATATAAGAAATAAATAAAATATATCCATATACAATCCAAAATCATTAATGCTTTTGCAAGTTATAAAATAAGGGAGAGAGGGAAAAAAAAAAATATATAAAATATTCTAAAATTATAAAAAATGGCATAGCTCAAAATCTGAGTTTAAGCCGTAGGGGATCAAGGTGTTCAGTTTATAGATCCACTCCATTTCTAATTTACCTAACTCTCTAATAAAATCCCCCCCTCTCCAATTTCTATTCATAATCAGAAACCAGAAGGTTTGATTTTTATGGGAATTAAAAAGTTGAATAGAAATTGGAGAGGGGGGGATTTTATTAGAGAGTTAGGTAAATTAGAAATGGAGTGGATCTATAAACTGAACACCTTGATCCCCTACGGCTTAAACTCAGATTTTGAGCTATGCCATTTTTTATAATTTTAGAATATTTTATATATTTTTTTTTTTCCCTCTCTCCCTTATTTTATAACTTGCAAAAGCATTAATGATTTTGGATTGTATATGGATATATTTTATTTATTTCTTATATAGTTTTATGTCTCTTAATGTATCTATGTCTTCTTTGATTTATGGAGCTGGGTGGACTACTGTAATTATGTGTATTACACATTCCCTGATTATGCAAGGGAAACTGTTGGTATGGACTTTATTACACCGGACACAGGAAGAAATAAGAAAAGAAGAAGGGGGATATGAAAATATGAGAGATAAGTGAAAGAACAGTTTTGTTGAGGAATAAGCCGAAAAACAATAATTATTATATGGGATACTTTATTAATTATTTGATGCAATTGAAAAGCTATAATGCTACAACAGAAATGATTTTTTGATAAGTGAGAAACGATATCGGTATTTAGAAAAGATATAGGATAAAGAAATAAACAAATACGTGTATAGATAGTATCTTAAAATATTCTGGATAAGTGAGGAATTGAAATGATGTATTTGTAATGTTTTTCGATAAGTGTTTGACGGCAAGATCACAAAGAGACTAAGTTTGCCGTTCGAAAATACGAGGTGCTTGTTATATTGTATCGCAGCATGAAAATTTCACTTGCCGACTGTGTATGTAAATGGGACCGAGGCTTGACCCGCACACGCCTTGCCTGTGGGTGGCAACAGCGTGTTACGGCGCCAACACGGACCTTTCACCGCCAAACAACAGGTATTTAAAGAGTATCTAATGAACAGCAACATTGTATTAATTTGTCCAGTTGAAAAAGCCACAGTGTAGTGGCGAAACGCGTTCTGGTTTCTTGTATTCTAGCACATTGATGTTTTACGTTTTATAAATAGATTTTAGGCATATTTATGCCTTTTTATTTTACAATAAAGCTAATTTTAATACTATTTGGATTCCTGAAGTCACCCACCTACCTGCCTTTGTTTGATGGGAGTGCAGTCCCACACTGCACAACACGTGAAAATTGAGTCAAAACATTTGACTCCAGGCTTGTAAGTACCCACTTGGGAATTTATATTATCTTATTAAGGAATCCTAATTGTACTGCGCAATCGTCCGTGTTTTTGCCCTCTTCTTAGGATAAAAACCATAATATTGGAAATTAACCAAAGAAGAGGAAAAACCACCCATACGGACCCAGCAGAGAAAAACTTTGATAAGGGGAGGATCGCCTAAACGGATCCAAAAGTGATACCAACTAGAGCTGAGTTTGCAGCTCCTTGTTTGTGAGTTTATCCTTATATTTCTACATCAGAGATTTTTTTATAACATACCATCTACACTATATGCGATTATTTTTCGTTTTAGGCACTTGGTTACCGATGCCGAATATATTCCTCAGAGACTATTATAGAAGTGAAAATTTAACTTTACAAGCGCTACATTTTTTCCTGTTTTTTAAGGCTACAGGGAATTGTCTGTGTCTGTGGAGGATTCCACGGTCATGTAAGGATCCTCCATAGACCTTAATGCTGTACTCTCACACAGTTTGCTCAGATCAAGTTGGCTGCGCCTGTGAGGAACAGGTTCAGATAAGCAGATCCTGCACCCTGGCTACCAGACACCCAGCTGCGATGCCACTGTTGGGGGACTTTGCAAATTCAACAAAGTCCCCAAACAATGACAGTCCTACATTAAAGCACATTGCTGCAAAATTTAACTCCACCTACAGTAGCATCATGAACCAGCCCGGGTGAGGGTGATTAGGGGAAGTAATGTCCCCAGAGAAGAGTGCACTGCAGGAAGGACCTGTTTTTGTTTTTTATGGGGGTGCACCATTCCAACAACGTTTACTCAATCCAAAAACAACATTTTATTAAAACACTGTTTTTAGTTGGAGTAACTCTTTAAATTATCTTCAAACAAACATATAGCAAAAATACCAAAAAGGCCTTATGGGACATATATATTTAGGATGGAAGTTCATTTTAGTTCATGTTCAGTTTAGTTCATGATGCAATAGATTGCTTAGATTTTCTGAAATAAGAATAAAAACATATTAAAAGAACAAGGATAACAAATTGTTTTCATGGTTTCACTATAAATACGGTCATTTGACTCATATATGTTAATAAGTAAAAAAAATACAGTGCTATTCACAGGATTAAGTATTTCATTTATTTTAAGTTTGAAAATCTTTATTTTAAATGCATAAACCATAACCTCCATATGAAAGGACATCAGGTAAATTAAGCATGATAGATGAAATGTTATGATGTCATGATAGACATTTAACGTGTTTTCACGCATGTCTCACCACTGGCTGCAGAATGTCCATCCTTTCATACAATTAATATCGCATATTGTCAGCTTGCTTGGGTTTGTGTAGATGAATAAAAGTAAAGGATTTTAATAGTTCAATGTTGTCACGACTGCTCTTCATATTTAAAGAGAACATCATTGAAAAAAACACATCTTTGTTTATTTGAAGCTCATGGAGTTTCAGTTTAATCTCACCATTCTTCACATTTCTGTTTTCACCTTAAATTTCACTTAGAATTCTCACCTTAGTGAAGAACCCTGTAAGTCTATAAATGTTTAAAGGGTTACTCTAACCCTTTTGGGAGGGAGACCTTTACTGTGTAATATGCCATTTTGGACACTATTGAGAAGGTCCTTCTCCTTCATTTGTACTATAACCTAAAAAAGAAACAATTTATTTACCTGGAATCCAGCGCTGGGTGAAGCTCCCAACATTGACATTTATGCACCTTCCGACATCCCAAGGGCCTCAAATGTAGCAATTGTCTATTATCTAACTTTATGTAAGTATGTCGTTAATTACATGTTAGTCACATGATCTGTGACATCATCTGACCATTTTTTTTTTTTTTTTAAATGTGGCTGCTGTTTAACCCCTTAAGGACACATGACATGTGTGACATGTCATAATTCCCTTTTATTCCAGAAGTTTGGTCCTTAAGGGGTTAAACTGGACAGGTCCATTAAGCTGTAATATTCTGAGAAGGCCCAGTCTGGCGAAAGGCGCTAGTGTGTTTTCTTCTGTATATTGGTTTTATTATTTTTGTCTTAAGTAAACAAGTTTTTTATTACACTAGGACCTTCCTGATTTTATCCTTGCAGTTTTTATCTGGAGGACTCACACATTTATTTACTTGGTAGGGAAGATAACCCCTAGGCTGTGTGGGACTGAGCTAAATACCAATAAGGGGGGGGGGCTTTTGTCCTCCCCCCTGGCCCCCACCCCTGAGCGGTGGGTGGGGGCCCTAAAGTAAAATAATGGGGGGGAACCTATTGTCCCCCCCCCCCACCCCCACCCCTAATTTAGGGCCCCCATGCGCTTCTCAGGGGTGCGGGCCAGGGGGAGGACAATAGGTCCCCCCCTTATTGGTATTTAGGGCCCCCACCCACCGCTCATGGGTGGGGGCTGGGGGTCAATACGTTGAGGCTCTGGAGGGGGACCCCGGTTTAAAAAATTTAGGCTGCTCATTGTTTAATAGACATGCCCCTTCTAGCTTATATAGAGGCTGGGTCACATGCTACACTGGCCAATCACAGCCATGTCATTAGTAGGCATGGCTATGATGGTTTCTAATGGCACACGAGTCACACGTTTGTTGATTGGCTGCCCTGCAGCTTTTCAAAACGTGCCATTAAATCGCTGAACACCGAACTCGAAACCAAACTGTTACTGAAATGTCTGGGTTCGGGTTCAAAAAATCGTAATGTTCAGTACGAACCCGAGCTTTATAGTTCGGGTTCGCTCAACTCTACTCATGAATGCTTGGCATCAAGAGTAACTAATTGGCTTGGAGCATCTCCCTGTAAGGACCAGGACTATCAACACATCTGCAGGCGGGAATTATTCTGCCCAAGCACATACATCTGAAATTAATCATAAACTCCAAGAAATTGTAAGTGTTACTCCATTTATATTATCCATTAGTCTCCAGGGATACTTCATTATATTCCATTTTCTTTTCTTTCATACTACCTCCACACTACATGGATTTGAGGTCACTTTGAAGGCGCTGCTTCCCTACATCCCCTTCAAGATGTAAATAAGCACATAATTGACATTAGGCATCCTAGAATAGAGTTCTAGCCTGCCTAATAATCTGTAAGCTGACAATGCATATAACCCTGGCACACAATCAACAATAACTATGAAACACTGCACATACATACTTCTACCACCATGACCTCTTCAAATCACTGAAGTGGTCATGGTGGGAGGAGTATCCCTTTGAGTAACACAACAAAAAATATTGGCATTTAGATTGAATGACGTAAAAGAAATGGTACAAATACAATTAACATTAATAAATAACAATCATATTGCAATGAATAAACATACACCTTCAAAGGGGCACATGGTGCGTCACACCTAAAAATATTGATAAAGAAGTACAGCTGCCTGAAAAAAAAATAATCTCACCATATTTATCAAATTAAATAACACCTGATTTAATGCATTCACTCGTCTGACTGATTTTTAGAAAATGCATTTCCTCATATATCATTTAAGGGGAAAAAGTTGCCTTTGAGGTCAGAGATGCAGAACTTTGAGAAAGTATTGGGAGACGTAAACCCTCTGCGTTTCCTGGTGTTAAGATAATATGATTAGAAGTCCAGTAGAACTTGACTCCATTTGCTATAGCCTTCAAAATGTCTATAAATATGGCCACCTCGCAGTCATTCTGCATGCCACTGATAACTGTTTTGCCCTCTCCAGGGAGCTCTGTAGAAAGGTGGTTATGTGTTCTCTTCATACGAGATAGACTACATTGAAGTATTGAAGGCCAGTGATGGAGGTAAGTTTAAAGGACCACTATAGTGCCAGGAAAACATACTCGTTTTCCTGGCACTATAGTGCCCTGAGGGTGCCCCCACCCTCAGTGTCCCCCTTCCGC